ATGCCACAGCGTTGGGCGCGAGGCGCAAGAAGGTGACACAAAAATGTTAGAGTGACTTTCTATTTTCGCTAAAAAGGGTAATTTCATCCAGGGTTTATTGGGGGTTGGCTTACATACACAAAAATCACCATTTTCGAGACTTTTGACACATTTTTGAGCTAAGGAGGCTAAAGAAGCTTGGGAAGAACATAAGCACACAAATTTCATTATTCCTTCCGCACTCAAGATCCGGGTTTGGATTGAATTTAGGGAAAAGGGTAAAAAATATCCCTCTACTATTGTTTATTGTTTACTTGTGCCACCCGTTATACTTTTCGTCCATTCTTGTCCCTACCGTTAATAAAGTTTGCAAAATTACCCCTAACCCTAATGTCCCTCCACTGTGGCAGCTGACCCCTCTAATATTTTGTCCATGTCAGCAGCCAAGTCAGCAAGTCCCACCAAATAAAATGTTATGTCAGCATTGGAAGTAATTTAATCCTCAAATAAAATTGAAGGGTTTTTTCCTTTTTTTTTTGTATTATCTTTTCCCAGCGATTTCATATGCTCATTTTGAACTAATTGCACATATTGAAATGAACACTTGTTCCTGTATTCTCTCAGAGAAAATCGAATGAATGGAAATTTTGAGCTGATTTTTTTCAATGTTCAAATTTTGATACTATCACCGATTTTCTCCCTATTTCTGATGAAAAACTCTTAAAATTCATCTTTGTACTATAAAAATTGTTTCCTTACTATTTTAGATCTTACAAGTTACATTTTGGGCGGTTTATTGGCTGTATCTTTTTATGGATTGGCTCAATTTTTTCGAATACATAGTCTGGTTTTGATAGTTATTCTTTTTTCGTCTTCTATCCCCTTTTGTCGCGTAGTAAAATGTTTAAGAAAATTATAAATTTTTTATTATTTACGCTCTTGGAACTTATGATTTGGTTCCAAATTTGAATGGTTAGAGTCGTCAAATTTGAGATACATCAAATTTCGAAAAAAAATTCTGCAAAGAAGAAAGAGAAAATGATCAGTAGAAGAAAATGAACGGGGTTGTTGTTTGAATGACGAAACATGAAGAAGGAGAAAAGAGACGAAGAGCGGAGCCAGTACCGTGGAGGTTAGTTCTGCCTGCTAAAAATTTCCGGTGAAATGTTATGGTTTCGGCGATTTTGGTATGACGTGAGGGAGAGAAAATGAGAGAAAGAGTGGAGAGGTGAGAAGTGATGGGTTGTTTATGTTAGGGTTTTAATTTGGTGGGGTCATGACATGGTAGCTAACATGGAAGCTGACATGGACAAAATATTAGAGGGGTCAGCTGCCACAGAGGAGGGACGTTAGGTTTAGGGGTAATTTTGCAAATTTTGTTAACAATAGGGACAAGAATGTACGAAAAGTATAACGGGTGGCACAAGTAAACAATAAACAATAGTAGAGGGATATTTTGACCTTTTCCCCTTGAATTTATGTTTTCTTATACTTTAGTTTCCATGTCTATGAAGTAGTTCCTTTTGGATTTTGATAGATTTGGTGTATTGGTGATTGTCTGTGAATTATTACTCTCTTTTTATGTATTTGAATCGTTTTTGGAAGATTTAATTGTTGCATCTATATTCACTTGTTCTTGTAATCGAAAGAGGAATAACTTGTGATATCATTACATTATATTGTTGGTTGAGTTCATAGATTCTTCTAAGTAATCGAAAGAGGTTAGTTGAATCATTGATTAAATGTAATTAGGAAAATAATCAAAAAAGGTTTTTCTAAAGACCGATCCACTACGCATTCTTGCATATCTTCACAGAACTTAAACTGGTCCATCTCGTGAGGTTAAGACTTAATCGAGAGAGGAGTTTTTGCTGAGTGTTTGAAATAATAATAGAGTGAATTCGAGACAATCACTTGAATATTGGAAGTGAATTATCTAGAGTTAGATCCCGAATAATTATCTTGCACTTATTCCGTCAAAACCCTATCCTCTCCCACAGATATCCTTAATTGCATATTCCTTGTTTCGATAGTCAGTAGTCAATAGTTGTAGATTTTAGATTCTTAGTTAAATCTTATTATTAATCGTATAAATCTCAACTGTTGATCCTCCCAGATAGCAATCAATATACAAACTACGAGAATGTTGTTTAAATCTAATCCCTGTGGACACGATATTATACTATACTATCTTTAACTAATGAGCACAATTTAAGTGTGTGTTTTGCGCTCGTCATATGCTGGGTGAGTTGGAGTACTTTGAGTGACGTCGAGATTTTGGGTATTGTAGATGCATAAGAGTGGGGGATGTTGAAGGGGCTATGCGCAAGATGAGTAGGGATAAAGCGACCGGTCCAAACGAGATCCTTGTGAAATTCTGGAAGAGGGTAAGGCGGGCTTGGAATGGCTCTCTAGGTTGTTTAATGTAATTTTTAGGACGAAGAAAATGCTTGAAGAGTGGAGGTGGAGTATGATAATTCCGTTGTACAAGAACAAGGGGATATCCAAAACTACAATAACTATAGGGGTATCAAGTTGTTGAGCCATACGATGAAAGTTTGGGAGGGGGTGATTGAGGGGAGGATGAGGAGAAGTGTATCCATTTTCGAGAACTAGTTTGGTTTTATATCGGGGCGGTCGACTAGGGAAGTCATTAACCTTGTGAGGAGATTGGTGGAGAAATATTAGGCAATAAAGAAGGACCTGCATATGGTATTCATTGACCTAGAAAAAGCTTATGACAGTCCCGAGAGAGGTTTTATGGAGATGTTTGGAGGCTACGAGAGTACCAGTAGCGTACATTCGTATGGTCCATGACATGTATGATGGAGCTAAGACACGGGTAACGACCGTAGGAGGAGACTCTGATTACTTTTCGATTGATATGGGGTACATAAGGGATCACCACTTAGCCCATTTTTGTTTTCCTTGGCAATGGATGCATTGACGCGACACATTCAAGGGGAGGTGCCTTGGTGCATGTTATTTGCCTATGACATAGTTCTAATTGATGAGACGCGAGGTGGTGTTAACGAAATATTGGAATTCTGGAGACATACCCTTAAGTCTAAAGGTTTCAAGTTAAGCAGGACCAAGACAGAGGTGTTACCTAGGAAGCGAACGGGGATGTGAGGCTTGATACGCAAGTCATTCCCATGAGGGAGAGCTTTAAGTACCTTGGGTCTGTGATTCAGAGTGATGGGGAGATTGACGTGGATGTCACACACTGTATCAGAGCAGGGTGGATGAAGTGGAGGCTCACTTCCGATGTCTTGTGCGATAAGAATGTGCCGTTGAAACTTAAAGATAAGTTCTACAAGGTAGTGTTTGACCGACTATGTTGTATGCGACAGAGTGATGGCCAGTCAAGAAATCCCATGTCCAACAGATAAATGTAGCTGAAATGAGGATATTGAGATGGATGTGTGGGTATAGTAGGTTAGATAGAATTAGGAATGGAGTTATTTGAAAAAAGGTGGGAGTGACCCTTTTGGAGGAAAAGATGCAAGATGCGAGGCTAAGATGGTTCAGACATGTTAACAGGAGAAGCACAGATGCCCCAGACAGGAGGTGTGAGAGGTTGGACTTAGGGGTAAGAGGAAGGGTATAGGTAGGTCAAAGAAGTCTTGGGGACAGGTGATTAGGCGGGACATAGCGCAACTTGAGCTAATCGAGGACATGACCCTTGATAGGAGGATGTGAATGTTGAAAATTAGTGTAGAATGTTAGTATGTAGTTGAGCGTTTCTTGTTGTCTTCCTTAGTGCAATAGTATTAGTGTTAGTATGGTATCACTTTTATCCTTAGTTTGCTAGTACCACATATTTTGTACTGTTATTACTTGCCATCAGTACTCTCTTAGTTTGCTATTACTACATATCTTGCACTATTATTACTTGCTATCAGTACTTATTTCATCTTTTCTTTGCTATCTTGGATTTAATTTTCTAATTATCTTGTATTGTTATTACTTGCTATCAGTGCTTTTTCCATCTTTTCTCTAGTCAAAGGTCTACCGGAAATAGTGTCTCTGTCCTTCCGGGTAGGGATAAGGCTGTGTACATCCTACCCTCCCCCAGACCCCACTTGTAAGAATACACTGGATTGTTGTTGTAGTTGCAGTTATTTGTAAATTCTAACCTTAGTAATGTGGATGTTCAAGTAAGATAAAACTTACAATTAGTGAGTGGTGTTTATTTAGTCCTTCTACTTGACAAACTTAATAGATTTTTAAGTTTAAATAAGTTATTAAAATCTTATCATAGCATAAAACATGAATATTCGCATAGTTTAACAATTCTGAAAATTAACAGTACTTTGAACCTCTTGATGGAACAAGTTTAACAGTATGGCGCAAAAAATGCCAATACATTCGCAATCCCTAACACAGTGTTGATATTAATATTTGGATGCATAATGACTCTTAATTAATAATAACTCATTTTTCAACTCTTACCTTAACTTTGGGATGTTTCTGTTCCTTTAATTTTTTTTTCCTCTCAAATTAGGAAGATCTATGGTGTTTCCACGCTTCCCTTCCAGCGTGACTCGAATCCAATACCTAATGATCGTTGGTGAAGGTGCTTAACCAACTCAGCAACCTCACTTGTCCCCTTTACAAAAGTAATAAGGGGCTCTCAAATGTCTTGTTAGCTATTGTATAGTTTTTTTCACAAAATCCTTCTGTATCCCCTCCCCCCAACTCAACTGCAGATCCTAACTTTTGAGAGGAAGGAGACCTAAATCAAAAGGATAGGAGGCAAAACCAATTTTAACAAAAGTTTAGGGGGCGAAAGCATCTTGTCGACCGGGGATTAAAACAAAAACATCAAGTTCCATTTCCTTTACGTTGTGCAAACAAACCCGGGGGGGGGGG